GCATCCACGGAGAGCGCTAAACACGTAATGAACTCTACAGGGCAACGTGAGGCTTACAACTTGCTGTCTTAACAACCTTTGTTATGTTGAGGATAACAAGGTGATGTTATCTTAGGTGATGTCTTGTGATGTCTTGTGATGTCTTATGTGATGTCTTAGGTGATGTTATCTTAGGTGATGTCTTGTGATGTCTTAGGTGATGTTATCTTAGGTGATGTCTTGTGATGTCTTAGGTGATGTTATCTTAGGTGATGTCTTGTGATGTCTTAGGTGATGTCTTGTGATGTCTTATGTGATGCTGTCTTAGGTGATGTCTTGTGATGTCTTAGGTGATGTTATCTTAGGTGATGCTGTCTTAGGTGATGTCTTGTGATGTCTTAGGTGATGTTATCTTAGGTGATGTCTTGTGATGTCTTAGGTGATGTTATCTTAGGTGATGTCTTGTGATGTCTTAGGTGATGTCTTGTGATGTCTTATGTGATGTTGTCTTAGGTGATGTTTAGGTGATGTTATCTTAGGTGATGTTATCTTAGGTGATGTTGTCTTAGGTGATGTTATCTTAGGTGATGTTGTCTTAGGTGATGTTGTCTTAGGTGATGTTGTCTTAGGTGATGTTGTCTTAGGTGATGTTGTCTTAGGTGATGTCTTAGGTGATGTTGTCTTAGGTGATGTTGTCTTAGGTGATGTTGTCTTAGGTGATGTTGTCTTAGGTGATGTTGTCTTAGGTGATGTTGTCTTAGGTGATGTTGTCTTAGGTGATGTTGTCTTAGGTGATGTTGTCTTAGGTGATGTTATCTTAGGTGATGTTGTCTTAGGTGATGTTATCTTAGGTGATGTTGTCTTAGGTGATGTTGTCTTAGGTGATGTTGTCTTAGGTGATGTTGTCTTAGGTGATGTTGTCTTAGGTGATGTTATCTTAGGTGATGTTATCTTAGGTGATGTTGTCTTAGGTGATGTTGTCTTAGGTGATGTTGTCTTAGGTGATGTTGTCTTAGGTGATGTTATCTTAGGTGATGTTGTCTTAGGTGATGTTGTCTTAGGTGATGTTGTCTTAGGTGATGTTATCTTAGGTGATGTTGTCTTAGGTGATGTTATCTTAGGTGATGTTGTCTTAGGTGATGTTGTCTTAGGTGATGTTGTCTTAGGTGATGTTATCTTAGGTGATGTTGTCTTAGGTGATGTTATCTTAGGTGATGTTGTCTTAGGTGATGTTATCTTAGGTGATGTTATCTTAGGTGATGTTGTCTTAGGTGATGTTGTCTTAGGTGATGTTGTCTTAGGTGATGTTATCTTAGGTGATGTTATCTTAGGTGATGTTGTCTTAGGTGATGTTATCTTAGGTGATGTTGTCTTAGGTGATGTTATCTTAGGTGATGTTGTCTTAGGAGATGTTGTCTTAGGTGATGTTGTCTTAGGTGATGTTGTCTTAGGTGATGTTGTCTTAGGTGATGTTGTCTTAGGTGATGTTGTCTTAGGTGATGTTATCTTAGGTGGTGTTGTCTTAGGTGATGTTATCTTAGGTGATGTTGTCTTGGGTGATGTTATCTTTAAAGGAAGGTGGTGGACAGTAATGGTATCTTCAAGGGAAGGTGGTGGACAGGTAAGAGCATAATAACGTCTCAAGTCACTCCAACTGTACTCCCTGGAACGCAGGCGAGAAAGATACATCATAATCTACACCTTGAAAGTCGTGTAGGGAATGTCGGTTAACCTGGACACTGAAATATCTACACGTGAAAAACAGACGGTGCAAAATACCTCCACTAATAACCAACTTTGTCATACCTACATTTAAAGAGGATTCAGTAAGTGCCACGGACCCAGGACTCTTCAACACCCTCCCGTCGTACAAGGGTGAAATTACCAACAGACTTCTGGTTCTCCAGTGAGTACTGCCCCCGTTATCCAGTGATTACTGCCCCAGTTATCCAGTGATTACTGCCCCAGTTATCCAGTGAGTACTGCCCCAGTTATCCAGTGAGTACTGCCCCAGTTATCCAGCGAGTACTGCCCCAGTTATCCAGTGATTACTGCCCCAGTTATCCAGTGAGTACTGCCCCAGTTATCCAGTGAGTACTGCCCCAGTTATCCAGTGATTACTGCCCCAGTTATCCAGTGATTACTGCCCCAGTTATCCAGTGATTACTGCCCCAGTTATCCAGTGATTACTGCCCCAGTTATCCAGTGATTACTGCCCCAGTTATCCAGTGAGTACTGCCCCAGTTATCCAGTGAGTACTGCCCCAGTTATCCAGTGAGTACTGCCCCAGTTATCCAGTGAGTACTGCCCCAGTTATCCAGTGAGTACTGCCCCAGTTATCCAGTGAGTACTGCCCCAGTTATCCAGTGATTACTGCCCCAGTTATCCAGTGAGTACTGCCCCAGTTATCCAGTGATTACTGCCCCAGTTATCCAGTGATTACTGCCCCAGTTATCCAGTGAGTACTGCCCCAGTTATCCAGTGAGTACTGCCCCAGTTATCCAGCGAGTACTGCCCCAGTTATCCAGTGATTACTGCCCCAGTTATCCAGTGAGTACTGCCCCAGTTATCCAGTGATTACTGCCCCAGTTATCCAGTGATTACTGCCCCAGTTATCCAGTGATTACTGCCCCAGTTATCCAGTGATTACTGCCCCAGTTATCCAGTGAGTACTGCCCCAGTTATCCAGTGAGTACTGCCCCAGTTATCCAGTGATTACTGCCCCAGTTATCCAGTGAGTACTGCCCCAGTTATCCAGTGATTACTGCCCGTTATCCAGTGATTACTGCCCCAGTTATCCAGTGAGTACTGCCCCAGTTATCCAGTGATTACTGCCCCAGTTATCCAGTGAGTACTGCCCCAGTTATCCAGTGATTACTGCCCCAGTTATCCAGTGATTACTGCCCCAGTTATCCAGTGATTACTGCCCCAGTTATCCAGTAAGTACTGCCCCAGTTATCCAGTGATTACTCCCCCAGTTATCCAGTGAGTACTGCCCCAGTTATCCAGTGATTACTGCCCCAGTTATCCAGTGATTACTGCCCCAGTTATCCAGTAAGTACTGCCCCAGTTATCCAGTGATTACTGCCCCAGTTATCCAGTGAGTACTGCCCCAGTTATCCAGTGAGTACTGCCCCAGTTATCCAGAGAGTACTGCCCCAGTTATCCAGTAAGTACTGCCCCAGTTATCCAGTAAGTACTGCCCCAGTTATCCAGTGAGTACTGCCCCAGTTATCCAGTGATTACTGCCCCAGTTATCCAGTGATTACTGCCCCAGTTATCCAGTAAGTACTGCCCCAGTTATCCAGTGATTACTGCCCCAGTTATCCAGTGAGTACTGCCCCAGTTATCCAGTGAGTACTGCCCCAGTTATCCAGTGAGTACTGCCCCAGTTATCCAGTAAGTACTGCCCCAGTTATCCAGTAAGTACTGCCCCAGTTATCCAGTGAGTACTGCCCCAGTTATCCAGTATTACTGCCCCAGTTATCCAGTGTTACTGCCCCAGTTATCCAGTAAGTTTCTGCCCCAGTTATCCAGTGATTACTGCCCCAGTTATCCATGAGTACTGCCGTTTCCAGTGAGTACTGCCCAGTTATCCAGTGAGTACTGCCCATTATCCAGTGGTTACTGCCCCAGTTATCAGTAAGTACTCCCTTACAGTGGTTACTGCCCCAGTTATCCAGTGGTACTGCCCGTTATCCAGTGAGTACTGCCCCAGTTATCCAGTGAGTACTGCCCCAGTTATCCAGTGGTTACTGCCCCAGTTATCCAGTGGTTACTGCCCCAGTTATCCAGTGATTACTGCCCCAGTTATCCAGTGGTTACTGCCCCAGTTATCCAGTGGTTACTGCCCCAGTTATCCAGTGAGTACTGCCCCAGTTATCCAGTGGTTACTGCCCCAGTTATCCAGTGGTTACTGCCCCAGTTATCCAGTGATTACTGCCCCAGTTATCCAGTGGTTACTGCCCCAGTTATCCAGTGAGTACTGCCCCAGTTATCCAGTGGTTACTGCCCAGTTATCCGGGTTTCTGCCCCAGTTATCCAGTGATTACTGCCCCAGTTTATCCAGTGGTTACTGCCCCCGTTATCCAGTGAGTACTGCCCCAGTTATCCAGTGGTTACTGCCCCAGTTATCCAGTGGTTACTGCCCCAGTTATCCAGTGGTTACTGCCCCAGTTATCCAGTGGTTACTGCCCCAGTTATCCAGTGATTACTGCCCCAGTTATCCAGTGGTTTCTGCCCCGTTTCCAGTGATTATGCCCAGTTATCGGTTACTGCCCCATTATCCAGTGATTACTGCCCCAGTTATCCAGTGATTACTGCCCCAGTTATCCAGTGATTACTGCCCCAGTTATCCAGTGGTTACTGCCCCAGTTATCCAGTGATTACTGCCCCAGTTATCCAGTGATTACTGCCCCAGTTATCCAGTGATTACTGCCCCAGTTATCCAGTGATTACTGCCCCAGTTATCCAGTGATTACTGCCCCAGTTATCCAGTGATTACTGCCCCAGTTATCCAGTGATTACTGCCCCAGTTATCCAGTGATTACTGCCCCAGTTATCCAGTGATTACTGCCCCAGTTATCCAGTGGTTACTGCCCCAGTTATCCAGTGATTACTGCCCCAGTTATCCAGTGGTTAACTCTACCTAGACGGCAGCAAACTACACTGCATCATCCTTATCCCCCTCTTAATAATAATAATAATAATCATAATAATAATAACTAATAACAATAATTAATAATAATAATAATAATAATAATATAATAATAATAATAATAATAATAATAATAATAATAATAATAATAATAATAATAATAATAATAATAATCTTCCCGGTAATCCACCTTATTCTTATCTTCTAATATTCCTGCCTTTAACGCATTTTCTCATTTAAAAATATGAAGTGCCATCTCCCTCATTATCTTCCTCATCATCTTCCTCCACATCCTCATCCACATCCTCACAGGTAATGGAACACCAAACACAGTTATCATTATTATTATTATTATTCACCAATATATACACTAGTGTCAGGCGCCGCCATCTTGCCTCTCCAACCACAACACAACCATAAATATTTATATCCATGTATGTATATGTATGTATATGTATAAATATGTATGTATATGTACACTTCTCTCCAGTCGCTCAGTCTGTGAGAACTGTTCAACTCGCGGCATCACTCACTTATGTGGCACTCTGTGGTTCTTCCCGGCGGCACTGGTTTATAGCAGTCATATTACTTCTTAGCAATAGCACTGTTTCTTAGTGGCACTGGTCTCTTAGCACTGGCACTGTTTTTTTTAGCAGCAACACTGGTTCTTAGCAGTGGCACTGATTTTTAGCAGTGGCACTGGTTTTTAGCAGTAACACTGGTTCTTAGCAGTGGCACTGATTTTTAGCAGTGGCACTGATTTTTAGCAGTGGCACTGGTTTTTAGCAGTGGACACTGGTTTTTAGCAGTGACACTGGTTCTTAGCAGTGACACTTTTTTCCCACACAAGAAATGGCTTTTGACTTTAGTTCACTGGAGCGTCAGAGTGGCACTGTGCGGGTGAGGCAGCACGGGGAGTGCCGCTAATTAGCAGCACTCACGTGCAGGGGTTCATCCCCCTGACGGTAATTTCGCTCCAAGGGTAAATCAAGGGCCATTTCCCCTGGGGGGGTACCTTGCAGAGCCCTGATGTGGGTGCTGTGCCCCTGCAAAGACTGCTAAATATGGCGGGCCTTGCAGCCCTGAGGCTTTATTTGGCCCTTCAGTCTTCCCTTAACTTACGTGTACTGAACTTCTATTATGAATGCTAAGGGCTTGTATCAGTCCACTGTGACCCTGAGAGACAGTCAGGGGTGAGAGAAGGTTAAAAGAGTGTCCGTAGTTCGTAAGTGTCCGTAGTTCGTAAGTGTCCACTGGCTTAAACGGGTTGCATAGTCTCTTTGACAATCCACACGTGTTTGAAGAGGTCAGCACCTCCCTCCATACACTGCAGGAGACCCCTTAAGAGTTCTGTAGGGGGCCCCTCAGAGTTCTGCACGGGGCCCTCAGTTTCTGGTCACTGCCTGGACTTCAACACTGTCTTCGTATTTACGAAATGTAGAGAATGACCAAGTCACTGAAATACACTTATTACTGACTACACGATCATCCCTCAACACACACACACACACACACACACACACACACACACACACACACACACAACGTAAACATACACACACACACCCTGGCTACACTAACACATACACACACACATAAACCGGTTAAACACACACACACACACACATATTGGATACACACACTTGCACACACACACATACACAGTGCTACACACTCACTCCTGTTAAAAACACACATACACACATTGGGTACACACATTCATACACATACTGCCTACATCCACACATACATATATACTTATTGCTAAACACACATGTACTACCTATACACAGACACACATACACACCACATACTGTGTACACACACAAACACACACACACACACACACACACACACACACACACACACACACACACTCTAGCTACACACTTAAGGCACACTGTAAAATGAGTCGCTTCTCAGAGAGTTGAACATTGCACAGTCAGCGGCCGTGTTCACAGTTCAAAAGATTCACAACACATGTTGGACTAGCCGGGCGTGTGTGGGCGTCACCAGCGCGCGGGGGCGTGAGCGCCGCCCACGGGGGAGGAACCCACGGTGGTGTCAATGGCGGTGCTGCTGCTGCTGGTGGTGGTGACCGGTGATGCAGGTCGCGGTGACGACAGGGACGCCACCGGGGACGATGACGATGACCGACTGCCGCCCTCGAGGACCCTGATGGGGGCGCGGGCGGCCGGGGTGGTCACAGGCGGAGTGGAGAAGAGAGGTAGAGGGTTGGAGAGGGTGGAGGCCGTAGAGAAGAGAGGATGTGAGGGCAGGAGGAGGGAGGAGGTGAGTGAGGCCGCCAGTGCTGGGGGCAGCGAGGTCTGCCCTAAAGCTGGGGGCATCGACCCCAGTCGTAGACCTCCTGAAGTGCCGAAGAGCCCAGAGAAGAGCCCCGGGAATGCCACGGGAGGAGAGAGGTGCAGAGGCGGGTGTATCCGGGGGTCTAGGAAGGAGCTGGTGTCGTGGGGCACGCCCTCAGCACGCCCCCCCACTCCCTGCACTGACGAAAGCCTCTCCCGCACCAGCAGCGGTACCGTCAGGCGCCGCAGGGCGCTCGGAAGTGATCCCAGAGACCCGGCCGAGGAGACGTACGGGTTGTCTAGCGATGGTGGGAGACCCTTCTCGCGATACAACTTCTTGGTCTTGTAGCGGTGATTCTGGAACCAGATCTTGACCTGAGTGGGCGTCAGGTTAATGAGAGAGGCCAGGTGCTCCCTCTCCGGCGCCGACAGGTACCGCTGCTGGCGGAACCTCCTCTCCAGTTCGTAGGTCTGAGACTTGGTGAAGAGAATTCTCCTCTTCCTCTTGCGGCCGTTGGGTTCCCGTCCATCTTCAGGTTCATCCTCGACATCCACGGCCTCCATGTCCTCATCCACCTGGAACTCATCTTCAGCCACGCTGGTGTTCTCTGTGGAGTCTGCCGCCGCCTGGACGGGGTTGCGATCGTCCAGATGCGGCAGAGAATTGTTGGTTGTGGTGGTGGAGTCCCCGCCCTCCACTACCAGCGTCTGCAACCCCACTGCCGGAGAAGAGGATGCGTATCACTACTTGCAAACTAAACAAGGTTCTCAGGGTTAATAACCCTGCTTGTTCGGCCGCTCTTTATGAACCCTCAGAAATGTAACATATACCTCCACTACTCTAGCTCTTGGGTCTGTGTATATCCCCACTACTCTGTGTATGTATCGCCACTACTCTAGCTCCTGGGTCTGTGTATATCCCATAGCTCTTGGGTCTGAGCGCATCCATATGCTTTTTGGTTAGCGTTCACAAGATGCAAAATTGAAATTCATTGAGTAAGAAGTACTGTAGCAGGAGGAGAAACACGACACTGACGTACCTTTGGCCGGCTTGTCAGGCAGCTGAAGGAGGTCCCTGACGGAGAAGCTGGTCACTCGGCCGCTGCCACATCCATCCTGCTGCTTCTGCGCGAGAGACAACAGAGAGGCAAGGGTCATTATGGCTACCTACAACGGAAACACTATTTTATTAACTTCTGTGTTTTCCCATCACCGTCAAACTTCCCAAAACTTCCATGGAAAAAATACAAATATATATAAACATTTATCTGTGGGTGTTGAGTGTGGCTGACAAGTGGAGAGTGTAAGCGCGACTCACTTACCATGTCCCGCTCACTGATATTGCAACTCTCTTTGTAAGGCACGGATGCCATTCACTCGGTAAAAAAGCAAAACAAAAAAAAAAAACAAGAACACTAAAGCTCTCTTATATTTGCTTGTCCACCTAAGCCAGTCCTCAACAAACTAGCGAGAAAACTGCTGCGAGGCTTTGTCGGCGATGGACGGCCACGGACGCCGGATGGGGAGGAGCTGGGCGGAGTCACGGCAGGCGGTAGGTGGGGCCTCCCGGCGCCGCCAGCCAATACCAACCCTCGGAGGCAGCAACCCGCCGGGGGAACATGATCCCCAGTGTTGTCCTCCGCCGGGGGAAGTGGAGTCGCCAGTGTTTCTCTCTCCTTTTTTTTTCTTATTTCCTTCGTTCCATCAGGCCGCTAACACGGGTCGTTTCCTTTATTAAATTTTTGTGATGGGTGTATTATTGCAACGAGGAACGCCCTTACAAACACAGCTGGCAGGTAATCTGCAGTTGAGATCTGCAATAAACACCTAACTCATTCCTTGTGCCCATTTAGGGAAGCCTTGGGGGCAATTTGGGTATATTCTTGCCCCTTAGAGGGGGAACATGGAAACATGCCCGTCACTTAGAGCCACCTAGGAGGAGCATGGAGACATATGCTCGCTACTTAGAGCCACCTAGGGGGAGCACAGACATATGCTCGTCACTTAGAGCCACCTAGGAGGAGCATGGAGACATACGCTTGTCACTTAGAGCCACCTAGGGAGAGCATAGAGACATATGCTCGCCACTTAGAGCCACGTAGGGGGAGCATAGAGGCATATGCTTGCCCTTTAGAGCCATAAATAAAATGCGGTGGTGGCGTCGTTAAGATTTTTAATAGTGTGAAGCCTTTTAGCCAATCCGGGAAGAGCCTTTCCAGCGACCCTTTGTCCGAGCGAGCGTGTTCCCATTGTGACTGTGTAACCGACCCTAGAGGCTGCAAGGGAGGGGGGAAAGAGAGAGGAGGGGAGGGGGAAACTAAGGGAAAAGTGGAGAGGGGGGAAGGGAGAGCAATCCCCTTTGTCACCGGCCACTACACAGGGGATTTTCTCCACCGCTCTTGCTGCCTCTCTTCGGCACCTACCCTGGTGATTAATTCATATGCCTCTTTCCCCCTCCCCCTCTCCCCTCCCCCTCTCCCCTCCCTCCTCGCCCCTGCCCGACCAGCAAGATTATTGATTCCATATGTCGTGGTGTGAGGCAGGGCATTCTATCCTGAGTCTATCCTGCCTGTGGAAACACACACACACACACACACACACAAACCCCGCGGTAAATCTCTGGTGAGTGGAGAAAGGAGAGAAGGGAGGGGGAGAGGTGATGGAGGAAGGAGAGAGAGAGAGGTGATGGGTGGTTGAGGAATGGTTGACTACATGAAGGGGAGGAGTGAGGAAGGAGAGGTGCTGGCTGCCTACTTGAAAAGGGTTGAGAGGGGGAGAAGAAGGAGGTGGACCAGTTGAAGTGGATTGAGGGGTTGTAGTTGATAGTAGTGAGGGGAGGGAGGGGGGATATTTCTTGTAGAAGGTTAATAGAGAAAGTGAATGATGTGAGGATAAGATCAAAGTTCGCATCTTTTCTCATATATATATATTTTTTTTTTTTTTTTTTTCAACAAGTCGGCCGTCTCCCACCGAGGCAGGGTGACCCAAAAAAGAAAGAAAATCCCCAAAAAGAAAATACTTTCATCATCATTCAACACTTTCACCACACTCACACATTATCACTGTTTTTGCAGAGGTGCTCAGAATACAACAGTCTAGAAGCATAAACATATAAAGATACACAACATATCCCTCCAAACTGCCAATATATATATATATATATATTTATATATATATATATATATATATATATATATATATTATATATATATATATATATATTATAGGTAGTAGGTTGGCAGACAGCAACCGCCCAGGGAGGTACTACCGTCCTGCCAAGTGAGTGTAAAACGAAAACCTGTAATTGTTTTACATGATGGTAGGATTGCTGGTGTCTTTTTTCTGTCTCATGAACATGCAAGATTTCAGGTACGTCTTGCTACTTCTACTTACACTTAGGTCACACTACACATACATGTACAAGCACATATATACACACCCCTCTGGGTTTTTTTCTATTTTCTTTCTAGTTCTTGTTCTTGTTTATTTCCTCTTATCTCCATGGGGAAGTGGAACAGAATTCTTCCTCCGTAAGCCATGCGTGTTGTAAGAGGCGACTAAAATGCCGGGAGCAAGGGGCTAGTAACCTCTTTTCCTGTATATATTACTAAATGTAAAAGGAGAAACTTTCGTTTTTCCTTTTGGGCCACCCTGCCTCGGTGGGATACGGCCGGTGTGTTGAAAGAAAGAAAGAATATATATATATATATATATATATATATATATATATATATATTTATATATATATATATATATATATATATATATATATATATATATGCAAGCGATTCAAGTTGCAAAACAACCACGGGGGGGAGTTCAATAATAGCTCCAAGCCTTTCGTGTTGCAATCAACTCATCATCAGGAGCTTGCAATGTTGCAAAAATGAGTAGGAAATCTCAGCAGATTCGTTCAGAGGGACGCTTGCAAGCGTCCTCCTGCAAGAAGGGGGAATATGAAGAAGCAGTTAGAGAGAAAGATAGATAGAGAGAGAGAGAGAAAGAGAGAAGAGGAGAGAGAGAGAGAGAGAGAGAGAGATAGGAACTTGTGTCCCAGCAATCCTTAACACTCCATTAGGACTTAACTCCTGTAGGACTCCCTCCAACCCATCCCTCCCTCCCTCCCTCCACATCTCCCTCCCCATCTCCCTCCCCCACATCTTCCCCCCTCTCCATTTATTGGTGGTAAGGGGCAGGTTTCCCCCTCCCCTCAAGTCTGGTATATCCATTTTGGGAGGAGGGGAGGTATGTTTGTGTTCACCCCCACTCCATCTGTCAACTCTCAAACCAGCCCCCTTCTCCCTCCCCAGTTCCATCTACCCTCCCCTCCCCTCCCTCCCTCCCCCTCGCCCACAATATACCCTGGTATATATATTATTACAACAATGGTGGAGGGAGGGGATCATGTAAGCCCCCCACGACCAGTTCAACACGACTCCCCACTTCCCCCTCCCCCTCCCTCAATACTGTTACCACGCCTGACACTACGCAACAGGGAACACCAGTACGCTGGAACAACGTAATACAGAATACCAGTACGCTGGAACAACGTAATACAGAATACCAGTACGCTGGAACATCGTAATACAGAACACCAGTACGCTGGAACAACGTAACAGGGAACTCCAGCACCCTGGAACAACGTAACAGGGAACTCCAGTACGCTGGAACAACGTAACAGGGAACTCCAGTACGCTGGAACAACGTAACAGTGAACTCCAGTACGGTGGAACAACGTAACAGGGAACTCCAGTACGCTGGAACAACGTAACAAGGAACTCCAGTACGCAGGAACAACGTAACAGGGAACTCCAGTACGCTGGAACAACGTAACAGGGAACTCCAGTACGCTGGAACAACGTAACAGGGAACTCCAGTACGCTGGAACAACGTAACAGGGAACTCCAGTACGCTGGAACAAACGTAACAGGGAACTCCAGTACGCTGGAAACAACGTAACAGGGAACTCCAGTACGCTGGAACAAACGTAACAGGGAACTCCAGTACGCTGGAACAAACGTAACAGGCGAACTCCAGTACTCTGGAACAACGTAACAGGGAACTCAGTACGCTGGAACAACGTAACAGGGAACTCCAGTACTCTGGAACAACGTAACAGGGAACTCCAGTACGCTGGAACAATGTAACAGGGAACTCCAGTACGCTGGAACAACGTAACAGGGAACTCCAGTACGCTGGAACAACGTAACAGGGAACTCCAGTACGCTGGAACTATTCCTGCCCACACCACAGACAGAGGAGAAGACAGATCTGCAGACCAAAGAGAGAGAGAGAGAGAGAGAGAGAGAGGTTTACCTGGAGTGTTTACCTGGAGAGAGTTCCGGGGGTCAACGCCCCCGCGGCCCGGTCTGTGACCAGGCCTCCTTAGGTCAGTGTCCCAGGATGCGACCCACACCAGTCGACTAACACCCAGGTACCCATTTTACTGATGGGGAACATAGACAACAGGTGGAAAGAAACACGTCCAATGTTTCTACTCTGGCTGGGAATCGAACCCAGGCCCTCGCCGTGTGAAGCCAGAGCGTTAACCACCAGGCCACCAGAGTGAGTGAAAGAGAGAGATGTGTGTGAGAGAGTGAGAAAGAGGTATGAGAGTGAGAGACAGAATGAGAATAAGAGTGATCCAGAGTAAGAATATGAGAGGTGAGAGAGGTGAGAGGTGAGAGAGGTGAGAGATGAGAGGTGAGAGGTGAGAGAGGAGTGAGAGAGTGTGAGAGGTGAGAGGGTGAGAGGGTGAGAGGTGAGAGAGGTGAGAGAGGTGAGAGGTGAGAGGTGAGAGAGGTGAGAGAGGTGAGAGAGGTGAGAGAGGTGAGAGGTGAGAGAGGTGAGTAGAGAGGTGAGAGATGTGAGAGTGTGAGAGGTGAGAGGTGAGAGAGGTGAGAGGTGAGAGAGTGAGAGGGTGAGAGAGGTGAGAGAGGTGAGAGAGGTGAGAGAGGTGAGTAGGTGAGAGGTGAGAGGTGAGAGAGGTGAGAGAGGTTACCTACAAGAGTATACTGGACAATCAATAAGGTAGTAGTGTGACTTGCCCTGGTCGTAACGACCCTTGGTGTGAGTGTCCTGGTCGTAACGATCCTTGGTGTGAGTGCCCTGGTCGTAACGATCCTTGGTGTGAGTGCCCTGGTCGTAACGATCCTTGGTGTGAGTGCCGGTGTAACGAACCCTTGGTGTGAGTGCCCTGGTCGTAACGACCCTTGGTCTGAGGCCCTGGTCGTAACGACCTTGGTGTGTGAGTGCCCTGGTCGTAACGGACCCTTGGTGTGAGTGCCTGGTCGTAAGACCCTTGGTGTGAGTGCCCTGGTCGTAACGATCCTTGGTGTGAGTGCCCTGGTCGTAACGACCCTTGGTGTGAGTGCCCTGGTCGTAACGACCCTTGGTGTGAGTGCCCTGGTCGTAACGACCCTTGGTGTGAGTGCCCTGGTCGTAACGACCCTTGGTGTGAGTGCTGGGTTAACTAACCTTACAACACTAACAGCCTTGTTACACCCGCTTGCTCTAATCACCACCTTCATATTACGACCTAAGTCTGATTGATGATCCCCGTGTGTGTTGTGTGTGTGTGAGTGTGTGTGTTGTTGTGTGTGTGTGTGTGTGAGATGTGTGTGTTGTGTGTGTGTGTTGTGTTGTGTGTGTGTGTGTGTTGTGTGTGTGTGTGGGTGTTGTGGTGTGTGTGT